CGGAACCAATCACCGTGTGTGGCGGGAGAAGTATGAATTGGAACTTGCGTTGGGAGAGGTCGATTTTGCCATCACCTCACCGTGTCCTACTGAGCCAGAGGACCCGGTGAGAGGTGACAATGAAATCGGCGTTGATTTCATTTGCTCGAAAGCGTGATCATCTTGAAATAAGAATGAAATATGACCTTGAACATAGGCAATGGACTCTCTCCAACCGCAAGTGCTGTTGGTAGCCAAAGCCACCATAGAAGAGCAGGATAAGGGGCTCAATCCACAGAATGTGCTCTTTGCCAAAGAATATCTTGAGAAAATCAAGAGTCAGTTTACTGGGTCTACCAAGGCCACAGCAAGTTCACTGATTAAGAAGCTTGTGAATGAGAAATTCACTGGTGGTAGCATAAGAGAGCACATTTTAAAGATGAACACTACGGCATCTAAGCTAAAAGAAATGAATTTGAAGGAGGAGGATTTCCTGATTCATTTGATTTTTGCTTCTTTACCAAAAGAATATGACACCTTTATTGTAAACTACAATATGCGGCTTGAAAGATGGGGCATAGAAAGACTCATCTCAATGTGTGCTCAAGAAGAGGAGAGGATAAAGTCCTCACAAGGTGAATCTGCTCATTTTGTGAAGGATAACAAAAGAAAGAACTTTAATGGCAAGAATTCTAAACCACAAGGGAAACCTAAGTGGGATAAGGCCTCTTCCTCCAATTCACAGGGAAAGAAACCCTAGGATTCTGAGAATCAGCAGTATGGTGGAGCTAAAAAGGATCAGTGCAAGCATTGCTTCAAGAAGGGACACTACAAGAGGGATTGTCCAGACTTTCTGAAATCTCTGTTAAAGAAAGGTGATGAATTTATTACATTTGTAGATGAATCCCTGTATTTATGTTATGATAAATCCACTTGGTGGGTTGATTCAGGAGCAACTACTCATGTTGCAAATTCTTTATAGGGGTTAAGTGGGGCGAGAACCTTGCAAAGAGGAGAAAGAACGATTAAAGTTACAAATGGAGTGCAAGTCAATGTTGAAGCCATTGGAGATTTTTCTTTAGAATTGAATAATGGTTTTGTACTTAGACTTAGAGAAGTACTTTACGTTCCCTCTTTGCGTAGAAATTTGATAAGTGTTTCGAAACTTGATGATGATGGAATTGATTGCCATTTTGGTGATGGCAAGTGTAAGATACTGGTTAATAATAAATGTGTTGGTCTTGTCTTCCGACAAGACAAGCTTTATTTATTATCTCTTGCTGAGAATGCGAACAATGTATGTGATGAGAATGTGAATGATTCCCCATCTACGGATGTAACTAAGAAGTGGAAGAGAATTGATACTGTCTCTTCGAAATTATGGCATTGTCGCTTGGACCATATTTCGAGGGGGAGAATGGAACGATTGGTTAAGGAATCAATTCTCCCGCACTTAGAATTTTCAGATTTAGAACAATGTATTGATTGCATCAAAGGAAAGTATGTCAATAAAATTAAAAAAGATGCCAAACGAAGCACAGGAATTTTAGAAATAATCCACACAGACATATGTGGTCCTTTTCCTGTGAAAAGTGTGGATGGTTATGACTCGTTTATAACATTCACAGACGACTACTCTCGTTATGGCAATATTTATTCAATTAAAGAAAGATCGGAAGCATTGGATAAATTCAAAATATTTAAAGTTGAAGTTGAAAATTAGCACAATAAGAAAATCAAGATAGTACGATCAGACCGAGGTGGAGAGTACTATGGGCGACATACCCCATATGGCCAAATTCCTGGACCATTCGCAAGGTTCCTACAGGAAAATGGCATAGTTGCTCAGTACTCCACACCGGAGGAGCCTCAGCAGAATGGAGTGGCTGAAAGACGTAACCGTACCTTAATGGATATGGTAAGAAGCATGATGAGTTACTCCACATTACCGATTAGTTTATAGATGGAGGCACTGAAAACTGCCATTCACATACTTAATCGAGTACCAAGTAAATCGGTGTCTAAAACATCATATGAATTATGGACAGGAAGGGAACCCTCACTCAACCATTTGCGTGTGTGGGGCTGTCCAGCTGAGGCAAAAGTGTTTAACCCAAACATAGGAAAGTTAGACTCCAAGACAGTCAGATGCTATTTTATTGCCTATCCAGAAAGATCGAAATGATATCGCTTCTATTGTCCTGACAGACATACGAAGATTGTAGAAACAAGACACGCTGTGTTCTTGAAGGATAACATGATCAGGGGGAGCATGGTAGCACGAGAAATCAGCCTACAAGAGAAGCGGGTACGTGTACCCACTCCGATGGTTGAAGAACCATTCTTCACGCTACCTGCTGCTGTTGCACCGACAGTGCAGGACACTGTAGTGCCAACACCTGTTGCAAGTTCTCCCGTGGCGACAATGAATGAACATGAGGAACCTGTCCTTGAGGAACCTATCCTTGAGGAACCTATAGAACCAAATGTTGCACATGAGGAAGAAAACAACAGCCAAATATGGAACAAGTGCCGGAGGCACCTAGAAGGTCTCAAAGAATAAGAAGATCAGCTATTACTGATGACTATGAAGTTTATGAAACAGAAGAATGTCAGATGGGGGATGATCCCACCTCATTTGAAGAAGCCATGAGAAGCGACCACTCATCAAAGTGGCTTAAGGCCATGGAAGATGAATTGAAATCAATGAGTACCAATAAAGTTTGGGACTTAGAAAATATTCCTAAAAGAGCCAAAACAGTAGGCTGTAAATGGGTCTACAAAACGAAATATGACTCCCAAGGAAATATAGAAAGATTTAAAGCGCGACTTGTGACGAAAGGCTTTACGCAAAGAGAAGGGATTGATTACAATGAGACGTTTTCTCCAGTCTTATGTAAAGATTCCTTCAGAATTATAATGGCACTTGTAGCCCACTATGATTTGGAGTTATATCAAATGAATGTAAAGATGGCTTTTCTAAATGGGGATTTGGAAGAAAATGTTTATATGGCACAACCGAAAGGTTTTGTCGTAAAAGGAAAGGAAAATATGGGCTGCCGCCTGAAGAAATCAATCTACGGATTGAAGCAAGCTTCAAGACAGTGGTATTTGAAGTTTGATAGAACGATAAAAGGTTTTGGGTTTGAAGAAAATGTTGAGGACAATTGCGTTTATGCAAAGTTCAGGAATGGAAAGTACATATTCCTAATTTTGTATGTGGATGATATCTTGCTTGCTAGTAGTGATATCAATCTGCTAATGGAAACGAAGAAATTCTTGTCCTCAAACTTTGATATGAAAGATCTCGGTGAGGCCTCGTTCGTTTTGGGAATAGAGATTCACCGAGATAGGAGAAAAGGGGTTCTAGGATTATCGCAAAAGGCATACATAGAAAAGGTCCTGAAGAAATTTAGTATGCATGCGTGCAGTCCTTCACCTGCTCCTATAGTCAAGGGCAATAGATTTGGGAAACATCAATGTCCCAAGAACCAATATGAAATTGACCGAATGAAAGCGGTACCGTATGCTTCAGCTGTTGGAAGTTTACAATATGCTCAAGTGTGTACACGTCCTGACTTAGCTTTTGTTACCGGGTTACTTGGCAGATATCAAAAGAATTTAGGAATTGAACATTGGAAATTAGTGAAGAAAGTCCTGCGTTATTTACAGGGTATGAAAGGCCTCATGCTTACGTATAGAAGATATGATTCCCTGCAGATAGAGGGGTATTCAGATTCTGATTATGCGAGAGATGAAAGAAAATCCACGTCAGGATATGTATTTACTCTCGCAGGAAGGGCTATATCGTGGAAAAGCTCCAAACAAACCGTGACTACATCCTCGACAATGTATGCCGAGTTTGTAGCATGCTATAAGGCAACGGGGCAGATGAATTGGCTGAAGAAATTCATACCCGGATTATATAAATAAACCACTGAGATTGTATTGTGATAACAATCCAATGATGCAAATATGCTCACAACAATAGGTCAAGTGGTGCTGCCAAACACATTGACATAAAGTACTATGTTGTGAAAGATAAAGTTCGGGATCATATAATAAATCTTGAGCATATAAGTATAGAGAAAATGCTCGCGGATCCGCTCACAAAGGGCTTACCACCCAACGTGTTCAGAGAACACGTAGTCGGCATGGGTTTAAGGAAAAGCCTATGATTCCCGAACATACGAAGGGCCCAAAGAAAGTTTACATTTCAAAACGGAGAAGTGTATTGTGGTTGTTAATCTAACGACACTAATTGTTGTGACGATGGGACAGTTCTATGCACTAATCTGTGATGAAATAGGATGAAAGCAAGAAAAATATGAATTAAAAGTTTTGAGTATGAAATTAAAGAACGAAGAATAGATGAGAGATCAAGGGGGAGAATGTTAGAATTGATCTCCCACCAGTTAGGCCCAACGGCCTAATTGGGCCTTGTCCTCGCGCCCTGATCGGGACGCCCAACCCTGCATGGTTGGTGGGCCCCCGTCGCACAGCGCTATAAAGGAAAGGTGGGGGCCGGGGCTCACAGTACGAGGTTCACCGCGCCGCCAGTCACCCTACCGATATCCTATCCCTAGACCCGATCTTGAGAAGGGGCGCTGCCAGCGACGGGAAGCACCACCGACGCCGGCAACGCCACCCGACGCTCACGCCGCCACTAAGGACGCCACAGCGCCGACTCCCTCTCCACCGAACGTCGCTGCCAGCGCGCAGATGGCATCCGTCAACGAAACCCCGGCCGGAGCTTCGACAACTACGGCATTTGATGGTTTGCAACCTATCACCCCTTTCTCTCTCTCTGTGATCCCGAACATCTATTACTACTATGCTAAGTATCCCGATCTGATGAATACACCTAAAACGAAACCTAACAGTGGGATCTATTTCTTTTCCTCAGCTCTAAAACAGCACACAAACATTAAGCAACCTAAGAGAACCCAGTTTTTTCCTAACAAACTGATACTATTGCACAGCATGGTCAAAATTTTCAGCGTACTCGCTCAAAATCATCATCACTCTACTATTCTTGAAATTTTAACAGAGCCTTCGTCCACAAGACTGCTCTGTTTCCTCTTCCTGGACAAGCTCTGGAAACCGCTGTGTTCATCCACAAACTGTGCGGCAGTTCTTGCTCGCAGTTCCTCAAGAGTCTCTCCTTCCTTTGCTCGCTCAATCACCTGAAGTGGAGTCAGGAAGTTTGGTTTAAAATTTATTACAATGTAAAGTATATTGCAAGCTTGAGGGAGACATGTTGATCAATTACCAGGTGGCGACCATAAAGATGAGTGCTTGCGAGGGCTTGTAGAGCATTCTGGGCCTCTTGTTTTGTGACATATTCAACAAATGCAAAACCTCTGTGGCTTCCAAACTTCATAGGCAGCCTGAGGCTTTTGATCTACAAATTATAATTTTAACGAATTCAAATCAGAAGATTTCTGGGGAAAAAGAGTAAAATCACTTATCAACTTGAAACTAATGTATTTGTTTTCTGTTGATCAAGGAGAACTGAAAAGACAAAGTTGACTAATATTGAACAAAATTTAACCTGATTAACTACCATTGGTCCCAAGTTGGGGACTTCCGCTAAACTCAGACAAAAAAAAGAGGACACTGACCTGGCCAAACGGACTAAATAACTGCCTCAAGTCCTTCTCAGTTGCTTCAAATGCTACATTACGCACAAGCAGTTTTGTTGAACTTTTATCCTTGCCATTCTTCTTTGCAGCTTGACCATCTTTCTTCCCATGACACAGTTGCAAGATCAAAGCATGTCCATCCAGAACTGTTCCCTATGAACCGAAGGAACATTTAGCACACATCTATATGAGCATTTAATGGAAAGAAGCAAAAAGAAAAACAGAAGAGGAGGGATGAGTGCTACCTGTAGATCCTTGCACACACCAGTTGCAGTTTCAACAGAGTCAAACTCAACGAAACCAAATCCCATTGAAACATTCTTGCCCTTCTTAACATGCTTCTTCACCTAAAGACAGACAAAGAAAAGAGATAAAACAGTATGCTGCAAGATGCACCTGATATCCATAATAAGAGCACATCCAATAATCCATACCGTTGCACTTTTAAGACTGCCACTCTTTAGCTTTGTACTGAAATGCTGCTTCAACGATTCATCTGTTGTCTTGAAATTTAAGTTCTTGACAAACACAGATCGTGACTGCAATGAATAATGATATCTTTTAGGAATAGAAATTGACTCCAATGATAAGCAACTAAATAATTTTAAGCAGTCTTGGAATACAGCAATTCATATGCAAAAGCAGGTGCATAATTGGGAACACAAGTTTTTGCCATAGGAAACCCTAATGCCATATGCATATAGTAAAGAGGTAAGAGGGCCAAGCATACAAGTAAAAATGATATTCATGCAAACAAGTTGAAGTTTCAAACCTCCACCCTATCTGGATCAATCTCTTCGGCGCTTACACCTTCGACAGTTTGCTCTATATTAGCCTTAGTAACAATACGCTCACCAACTTCATTCTTTTCTTCCTTCATCCACCGGAGCTGAGGTAGCAGATAATATGTTTTCAGGTGCCCACTCCAAATACAGAGGAGTATCCCTGCACCACAAAAGATTAAGATACAGAACACGCATTTGTGAAAATAAAAAACAATCTAGCAAGCTACCAAATAACATGACAAAACCATAAGCAATAACCAATTTATCACAGCAATTTATCTTAGCTAAATTAAGTAGTCAATTAAATCAAGCAAATGTTATATAAATAACAGTAAATACACCAATTGCCAAGAGAATTAGAGCTGGTACATCTTCATAGAGGGAAAAAGAATCAAGCTTGCAAATGCAAAAGTTTGTAAGCTGTAACGGTCACTGAAAAAAAACTAAAACTATTGCAGGAACTTACTTGTATCGTGTATATAGTAATTTTTTGAATGCGTGTCGGGCTTCAGTTGCTTCAACAAAGACTACCTGATACACCAAAATGTAACTCAAGATAAATAAACTCGAGGGGCAATATTTGTGCAATTCAGACACTCAGGATGGCATTTGAAAAGTGACAGAAGTTAAAAAAAAAGTCAAAGTACAGTAAAAACATAAGGTGCTGCAATATACAAAAAACAGCTGGATAACACAACTGGAATATACTAACATACCAAGGCAAATACTCTTGTTGGAGGTAGAATGATTTTATCCAAACTACCATGTTTCTGAAACATTGCCGCGAGTTCTTCCTCAGTAGAATTAAATGGTAAGTTCTTTACTAATATCACATGATTGCTTCTTTTGAACTTCTCGTTTCTTTTAGAAGCAAGTTCTTCCAATGCAGCAACATTAACTCCAGACCTTGATAGAAATTTCTTAGTCTCTGCAATGACGTGTGTCTCACCAAGAGCAATACGAACGGCAAGGTCATCCGCTTCTCTATCAAGTAACTCACTCTTACTGATACCATTCTTCCTTGCAATGTTTTCAACAACCTAATAAGCAGGAAAGCAAAGCCCAATCATCAGACATACTTGACAAGATCATGTGGGTCAGTATCTATATACATTATCTCAGAAACAACATATCAGAGGAGTATTGGGTTGACACTGGACACAGACAAAAAAAAAACTGTTAATGTCAAAGGAGGGAAGCCAAAGGGCGCCTAGCTCAAACGGTTAGGTGACCCAGCGGCATTCCTCAGGTCCTGGGTTCGACTCCCCGTGGGAGCGAATTTCAGGCTGAGGTTAAAAAAATCCCCTCGCTCGTCCCCATGTGCCAGAGCGCAGTGGAAGGCCCCAGCCTGGTTCTCACAGGGTAACGGTGCCTCCTGCGTCAGGATGGGGGCGGGGGTTCGGGGGTTTTCTTGATCTGTGTGAGAAGATCTTCTTCTTAAAGGGAAACCCGGGGGCCGTCATAACCCCCCGCAGGTCAAGTCAAAGGAGGGAACCATACAGTATCTTGACGCATATAAAAGCTGTTCCATGCTCTCGTATCCCCACTGATCTCAGAAGCTTTCTTTTGTTCCAACCTTTTCTGCTTGAGACTCATTTTCTCCACAACAGTTTCATGATTAGACCTTGAAAATTCAATAGCAAATCAGTAAAAACTATAGGTGTAAATAATCTAACAAGTAACAACACAAACAGAACTTTATTTTCTTACTCCAACTTATTATTATTTTGCGGTTTAGCAGCCTTAACACGTAACACTCGGCCCTGGAAGCTTGAATTATCTAGTTCATCAAGTGCCCTGCCAAAAATAACAGTTCAATATTAGGCAGGTATATAATGGTCAATGTACCATCAAGCAAGCAAACAATGCAAGCATGGAAAATAAGACATGTCTCAGCCAAACTTGCTCACATGTTGATAACTGTTCAGTAACTAGGACGTGTATGAAACCTGCACGTGTAGTCTTAAAAAGGATAGGTCGTAGATTCAATTATGTCCTAAAACTCACAGAAGTTTGGGACATCGTTCAACTTTTGCCTTCAAATTGTTAACATCTTCTTAGTAATTATTTTGGGACAAGTATGAACTATGTGCAGGATAATAAAAAGTGAAACAAATTTGAGCCAAGTAAGGTGAATTATGTCTTAAATAATAAATAACGATATCCAAAGGAAGACTGTCACATTGCAAGAAAGCTCCCTGTCGCAAGTTCTAGCTCCTAAGTTCACAATTGTACATTGAAATTATAAATCCGTACCTGACTGCTGAGTCCGGAAGGCAAAAAAGCACATAGCCTCTACCTGTTGAGAGCTTTGTGGTTCTATCGACAACAATATGTGCCTGTTCCACATCACCATATTGGCGGCACAGCTCCACTAAATCATCTTCACTGGGAAAATAAGCAACAATATCCTTATTTTAAAAAAAGAAAACTATGCAGCTGTATCATACAAAAACAACATACAAAACGCCGATCCAAGGTAACATGACCAGGCAACAACAACATACCTGGTTGCATACGGAAGGTTGCAGATATATAGACGGCCAGTCTCCAGGACCAACTTCTTTTCATCAGTAATTGAAGCACCATTTTCATCTTCCTTTTCTTGATCTTCACGAATTTCAGTTTCTCTTCGTCTGCCATCAAGATCTTCACTCTCTTTGTTGTCAAGATCTTCCATCTCTTGCAAGTCAGTATTCTCCACAAGAGTGTCCTTGTCCACAATGTTTTTCTTGTCCAGATAGCCCTTCATATCCGCCAACTGGTTATCAGCATCTTCTGATTCATCTGACGAGTCTTCATCATCAGTGGTAGTACCCGACTGGTCACCAGAACCTTCATCATCTGATTCAGAATCTGACCAATTTTTCTTCACTTTACTCTTGAAGAAATCTACATCAGTCATATCCTTGTCTTGTTTATTCTCTGTCTGTAGTTTCTCCGAAGCATTTTCAGAAGACGAATCATTTGCCTTTTCCTCATCAGAAGTGTCTTCAGAAGATGAATCATTCTCAGAGGCCGGAACATTTTTGAGAGGTCCCTTAGATTCTTTAGTGGCTACTATGCTATCTTTTGCAGCGGTGTCAAGAGTAGCAGCTGTATCATTTGCCCACATCTTGGCTTTAGAACGGGGCTGCATAGCCTCAAGAAACTCTAGGAACTTGGGATCATTAGCTACACTGCCTTTAGAACCACTAGCATGGGCCGATGTTCCTTGGGCCTTGGAACCTTTTGGCAGTGCATCAACAGCTACAGCATTATTCTTGTCTTTACTACCATATTCGGGCTTTTTTAAAGAGTGGCGGCTCCAAGGGCGAGGAGCATCAGGGTCACCAATCTTTCGGGCAACCTGCCAAATACCATGAAGATGTAAGTTACGGATATTCCAAATCCGAACTCGTCGCTGTCCAATTCAATCTCGTACAGACAATTCACCAAACTGGTAGCACGGCCACAAGGAGAAAATTTGTCGAAAACGATTAGAAAGGAAAGTACCTCGCAGGTGATCTTACAAGTGTCAATGTATGTATTGTTGAAATACTTGAGTGCCTCCTCTGCCTCTTCATTGGTTCTGTAACCAATGAATGCAAATTGCCGACTCTTGCCATCCCTGCCCAAAAGCAAAAGCTCAATTTCAAGCAGATTCTTTGTACTAAAATACCTTCATTCGGTTAAGGGAAACCGGAAACAAGAGAAGGCGGCATCCAACTTGGTCTCCAACGAAGGCGGCAAGCGGCATCCCACTTCGTCTCCTACACGAACCAAGTAAGTCGTTGCTCAGCTTGCTTACTTTGTTCGGATGACCTTGGCGTCGGTGACCTCGCCCTTCCGCGAGAACACCTCCCGAAGGCGCCTCTCGTCGGCGCCCTTGGGCAGGTTCTTCACGCACAGCCGCGACGACATGCTCGCTAGGGTTGCTCACCGCCAGGAAAAAACGAGCTAGATGGATCTCCGCCCAGCTTCTCTCGGCTTCGGCCAAAGGAGAGCGACAGGATGGCTAGCCTTCCCGCGTCCCGTCGCCGGCAACAGGATCGCCGATGAGCGAAGTACTTGTGGCGGCGCCGCGACGGTGAACGGGGGGAAACAAAGCGAGGGCCCAGTTCTCTAAGCCACTGGTCCGCGGGCCCCGCAGCACAGCGTGCTTCGGCTGGGCCGGGCTGCAGAGGTCCCATAGAGGAGGGCTGGGTGCGGCGTTGGCGGTGGGTGCTTTTCTTGGGCTTGGGCTGTGTGATATGCCTCAAACTGTTATGGGCTCTCATACTATTGGGCCTGGAGGGTTTAGCACTTTAGCTATTCCGTGAGTCGCAGGACACGTATGTTGGGCGCCCGCGTGGTTGGACAACGAAGATGAGTGCACGCACAGCACACGTATGTGCGTGCCTATTGTCACGGCGTACCCTCCTTCGGGCTCGCACGAAACGGCCGGAGAGCCCGACCGGTCACCTCCCTCACGTGCGTACATCACCACCGTTAAAACATGTGTGAAAATTACGTACATCGGTCCACTTCAACCTCACGGTAGATTTTCATCAGTCCACCTTCATCCCATCCCTTGATTCTTAGTTTCCTCATTCTTCCAATTGATAATTTAGCTAGAGGTACTCAATAGCCAAATAATTAGTGTCAACATGTGTAGCCATGTGTTATTTGTCATCATTGGCTCGGGACGAAGACGGCATCGCTTTCCCTTTCCTAGATGGAAAGATTGGGCAGGAGCAACGAGCAATGCATGCTACATCATCTGTTACCTGTTACATCTAAAAAATAAGAACGGCTTTCGTCCAACCATAATCTCGTGCACGCGCGCGCCCTGTAAACTGCGAGACGAGTTTGATACGATATCGGAGAAAATTGTCGGCCCCACTCTCAGTTCCCGTTCTAATCTCTGCAACTAAAACATTCATAAGAGAATCGTTGACATGCGTGCGAAAAAACGCCACTCGCGCCCAGATCACCCGGCGTGCAAAAACCTAGGTCTATGATTTTTCCCGGCCACGTGCGATGCTCGGTAGCCCGCTCGCTTCCCCGGCGCACGCATGATTTCCTCCCCACTCGCTTCCCCCGGCGTGCACTATCTCCTCCTCCAATCACGCGATCTCCTCTTCCAATCCAATCACGTAAGGAAGCAGCCTCCAAGGCTCCAATCACGTACAAAGATCCGCGGCATCCTTTCCCATCGTGACGCCATCGGCAGAAGGCAAACCTGAAATGCGACTCGCCGCCGTTCTCCGTCCTTGCCGTCGTCGCGCACCGCGTCCGCCCTTGCCCGCGCCGCCGCCGCAATGCCGTGCCGAGAAGGAGAAGGCCCGATGACGGAGCTCTGTTGTCCTTGCCCAGCCCCCACGTAGATCATCAGGTATTCATGTCCATCAGGCCGATCCACGTTGTGGTCGCGTCTTCTGGTCAGCATTGGCGTCGCGCACTCTAATCCGCATCCGCAGGAGCGCGAGGCGTCACCGTAGGCCGTAGCGGCTGCTACAGATGTTGTTCGGTGAGTATTCTTCTGGATCTCCATCGTATGTGTTTCCTCATCGTTCCAGCCAATGATGAAGGAAGTCGTTCCTAATCTCGCCTGATCAAAGGACGGCACGACGCGAAGGCGAACAGAGACAGCCTGATCATGTTACGTCCATGCGGAAGGACGTCGCTTCATCGAGGCTTGACGGCCAGGCAGGTAAGCCTCTAGTTACATGCCCACCACCTGTTTGTTTTATGTCATTGGTTGCTGTTGCCAGTCTGACTGTTGATGAATCGTTTTAGTGTCCGCTTGCATTCCAAGCCTTTGTTTGTGCTATACAAATGGTTTGTTTAATGGTTGCAATATGCCTAACATTTCAAAGTGGAAAGTGATAACATGATAGAATTAATAGTTGGATTGCTAAGGACTACATCCTCCTTCCACTCTAGGACTTACAAGAACCATGAATCTAATGCTGTTATAAACTGCTCAATGGACTATAAAAATAATGAATAAAAACAAGCTTATATTAGTGAGCTCAGGAATAGGACAAATAGCTCGATAGTTTGCATCTAACAAACAACCACTGAATTGTTTCGTTACAGATGGAATTTACTGATTTTTTTACTGCAGATTGATCAATTTGTCAAGAACATCTCTCTCTTAGTGGTGATCAGGCAAACCACATCCACTACTTTTGCTTCCGTTATCAAGGCTCTGTTTCAGGTATATTTCATAGCTCATCTCATATCTGAATCTCAAAGGATATGATGTTTTTTTCATTGGTGAAACACTGGTCTTTTCAATCCGAGACTTCTTTGAACCAATATAAGCATTCAGTGGACCATGATTAAGTAGTGGCTGCTTTATTATTTTCTTAGCTTCATGAGCAATTTAGATGTTGAGAATGCAGATGGTACTTGTTCACAAGCAAAACTAAAAACAGATGCTACTTATTCTCAAGCAAAACTGAAAACAAATTCTACTGCTATCTCTATTTTTTTCTTTATTACAATTAAAAATAGATGCTATGCTGCACTTTCTTTGATCCCTAGCCAATATAGTATTGAGTTATGTATAGGTTCTGAGCAGCAGGTTACCATGTGCCTTTGTGCTGTGAGTTAGTTGCTTGTTTTCTTGAAAAAAACATGAACTGTAATCGTGTTGTTGGCGTCCTGGTGTTCCATCACCACTCTGCATAGAACCCGAGCAAGTAGTAGCACACGCCATGCACATTGGATGGCAGTGTTGCAGCGGTTTTCAACAGAGGGGATGAATTGAAGGAGTGCTTATGAGATGTCGACCAACTTTTTCCAATGCAGACCGGCATGCCTGAGTATTGGACATTTTTAAGCCTGATGCTTATGGAAAAATGTCCAGATTCCCACAGGTGGCTTAATAGCCAAAAACTTCATTTTTTCTCATTGTGTTGCACAGCCACAGCCTAATGTTATGATTGTTTGACATACAACAGACTAATACATAGAAGAGAGTTCCAGTCATTTCAGCCTAATCGTTTGATGTCTCTAATGGGTCAAAATTGTTAATTTCAGGAAAGTATCACAAATGTCACAGAAGAGAAGGTGAATGAACACATGCTTGGAGTAGAATCAAAAGTTCAGCTGTCTATTCCAAACTTCTGTCATATGAATTTCAGTGCTTCAAGGTTTGATTGCAGTCAAACTTATGGTGTTCATCATTTTGCACAATCTCGTAGGTGTCATGTTTGCTTCATGTATTCTCTTCTGGTGTGTTCCAACTGATTAGGACAAGGGAAGTATTCAGGCTCAAGCAGGCTGCCCTCTACTACAGGAAGGAGCCTTATATTAGATTGGACAATTTTTTTTGATTGATGATGCTTTAAAAAGTTTTGGAAGCCCCATTGACCTACTGTCTGTACATGCATCTCATAGACTTCTTATTTCAGGTCAGGTTCCTAGAAGCACTAGGCTAGGCTTAATGCCATTGCACATTGGCACCTCAATAGCCCCTTGTCTATGCATAAGAAGCACTAAACTATCACTGCTGCAGTGTCTGAGATGCACAAATATATGGCATGCGTCAATAACTTGTTGGAATAAAAAACATTTATGTTTAAGTTGCTATCAAGTTCTTTGTAATATATGTGATGACAGTACAACACACGCTCATACATATGTTCTTGTGACATTATATTTTCTCGTTGCAAAGTACGGACATTTACATGATTCCAGTAAAACACGCTGATACGCCGCATCTACCTATACAGCTCGTCGGCGCCGCGCTTTCTCTCTATACAGCTGAGAGGATGCACAAACGAGGGGATAGAGGGCGTGCAGTTCACGGTGATGAGCGGGCAGGACTTCGTCGGCGCCGCCCTCTGCCGAGAGCTGCTCTGCCGCGGCGTCGTGAGGTCCGCTCCGGCGCTCCCTCGAACTCCGCGTCGTCTCCACCTCCTGGCCTTGGCAGATTCTCGAAGCCGGCATCCGCCGGTCAGCCCCCTCCCATCCAGCCCTCCCCCGTTCGCCATGTTCAGATCAGATCGATGCGCCATCACCAGTCACCATGGTTTTAATGTGCTGCTGCTCTGAAAGAAAGGCTTGCTTCATGTTGCTTTACCAAGTCACAAGTTGTAGAATTGGATTGCTTGCCCTTTAGAGTCATATACACTTCAATACAAGTACGTACCATATTTGCTTCTTCGCTTTTGATATCAGTTCAAGGAATTATAAGGCAGTAGTAAAATACCAGGAATTTTATTTTTATTATCAGTTCAAACTGGACTGGCATATATTTTCCTAGAAGCAAAAACATTTTTACACACCCACAGTGTTACACTTCTATGAAGTAATAATCTCAGTTATGTAATGCAGGGGAAGAATGAGTGCTTAGCATGTTGCCTCTTCATTTATCATTGACTGGATTCAGCCATATGTTGCTTGTGAGCTTCCACGGATGAACTTGATGGACTTTGTTTTTCCCATATCTGTTGCTGGCATCTTAATTCTGTGTCATGGAGAAGAGCTAAATGCTTTTAGGTGTCAGACGATTCATGTTGAAGCTACAAGCACTTCTGGATCATTACTTCAGCTGAAAGCGAACGTGCGAATATGCCACAGCTCTCACAAATGAGTTGTCTTAATATCGTTTCCTCAGATGGAGCTAAAAAAACCTGTACGAGAAGACCAACTTATGAATGAGGTCAGAGAATGATATTGCCCTCTAAGTTTCAGCAATTTTTTTAACAGAAGAGAGAGTTGTATCATTATTATATTAAGAATGGGCAAAAATGCGTAGCTCCGGTGCAACACACGGGTATATATATATCATGACAGAAATAATCATCGAATCGGCTTGTGTAACATTAATGTGAACTTTCTAAATGCAGGGCCACGCGGACATGAGGGCGTGTGATGTCGTTGTGATATCACAGTGACTTAATTTTCTTAGAAAAAACTACAGAAATACGATTGTATACGTATACGTATATGTATGCTGACCTATAATAAATTATAAACATCAACTGATTGTCTCGTTCCATCCGTGGCATCGTGCAACGGGTATATATCTAGTTTAAGAAAACAAGAAGTAAATGAAGTTATACAAAATTGATTAGATATGAATGAATGAAATTCAGCATTAAGAATATAAAACATTATTGTGCCTAAACTACGCAGGGATGCTCGCAAACCTGCTGTGTCAAAAGAGAAAATTGAAGAAAAAGGATACGCTGACTTGTGTTCATTTTAAGATGCATGAACGTATCTCCCAATTTCATTCCTGCGGTAAGTTCACCGAAATCTATTCAGGCGAACGATCCCGCCGAGCTGCCCGCCCAGTAAACACCTGCGCCCACTGTTGCATGCTGTTAGACGTCATTTAAAAAAAAGCGAAACATTTATTTGAAAATGCTACAACTTCTGAGCAGTGTATCCATTTTTTATTCCGTTTGAGCCGGTGTATTCTACGTGACGAGGCGAACAAAACTAGACCCACTTGCATATGTTTCGAAGAATTTTATTTTAGTAATAATTTATGTGTATTTTCTTATTTCATATAATTTATAACATATAACTTATAAGTACTACCTCCGTTCAGGAAAGAATACAATTCTAGTGCACTATCACATTTTAGTATCTTGAGTTTGACTAATTCTAGATAAAGAACATCAATATTTATGATATCAAATAAATACCATTGAATTAATTATCAAATATACTTTCATAATAAATTGATTCGGAGCCATAAATATGAATACTATTCACTAGAAACTTGATCAAACATGAACTACTTTTTCTAACACGTAATCCGTAGTTGCATTCTTTTCTATATGGAGAGAGTATAACTTATAACACAACTTAGGCCTTGTTTAGTTTCTTTCCCTAAACTTTAGTCTATATCATATCGGATGTTTGACACATGCATGGAGTATTAAATATAGACTAAAAAATAACTAATTGCATAAATTGCGACTAATTTGCGAGACAAATTTTTTAAGCCTAATTAGTCCATGATTTGACAATGTGGTGCTACAGTAACATGTGCTAATGACGGATGAATTAGGCTTAATAAATTTGTCTCGCGGATTATTGAGGACTTATGTAATTTGTTTTATTATTATTATCCGAACACTCCCATATGACACTCGATGTGACACCCCTAAACTTTAGCTCTTGGATTTAAACACCACCTTATGCACACAACTTGTATTGAATAACTTATATACATAAGTTGTATAGAGTAACTTATATACACAAATTATGTTTGATAGCTTAAATCTTATGATGGCCAGACTCACCTTTATTTCAAAGAGGTATTACTTTGTGCAAAATCTATTACATATTTTTAGCATTGTAAATTTATTTATTATACTATGAAATTTGGTTGCTTCTCAAGTTCTATTTAAAATTGTGATCATTAGATTAGAACATATTGCCTACATTTTCAGATTAGTTGACAAAAAGTTTTTGAATTTTTTATGTCATACAGGAGCATGGAAAGTCTATTTGTGAAGCATTGACATGTTTTTGTGCATCCATGAGAAAAATCAATTATTGTTACTTGCAACACGTGACATAGCTGAGCAACATGTAGGATTTTCATATTGTACCTATATTTTTGTGTTTGAAGGAATGGTTTTATTTTTATTTTTTAAACTTCTCATGACCAGCAAGGTACAACTTATATGATTTTCATGCTAGCCAACTTAGTTATTTAACTAAGTCTAAAAAGTTATGTACCTGATTTTCTTTTTATGTGTATGCTAGTTAACTTATTTGATTAACTTGTGGTACAGAGTGATATATTTAACTTGGGTTCTCATGTGTATGCTACCTAACTTATTTGATTAACTTATTGTTTAGAGTTATGTACCTATTCTGTCTTTTTATGTGTATGCAACCGAACTTATTTGATTAACTTATTGTATAGAGTCATGTATGATCAACTTACTGTACGTAGTTTCATATTTATCACCCTATGTTAGATTATCATGTTAGTTTCTACTATTGAGCTATGTGTTTCTTTGATGAGAACGTTGTTCTTTTTGTATTTATGATTTTTAATTATTAAATATTTTGAAGATCGTGCAATTGAAGACACAGATGCTGAATATCATAGTTGTTCAGGCTATGCAAATCTATTTTGTAACTTGTTATTGAAGTTTGCATTATCTCATGGGATTTTGTTGTGTAGTCTATGGTGTAAAAGTTACTTTTATTTTTCTCTCCCACCCTTTTTTAAACTCTTTTTTCATGTTCCCGAATGATTAGTTTATGAAACGAAAAGAAAAATATTGATGAAACCTGAAGAGAATGTTCTATAACTTAGCACGCTTAACTTATTCTTTTGAAGTTATGCTGTGTAACTCAGTTTGTATAAGTTATGCGCGAGAGGAAAGAGAACGACAGGTTTGAGTGCACGCGCGCGAAAAGAAATCAAGACCGGCGCGTTTGCGCGCACAAAAATAAAATAAAGCGTCTGTCTGCCAAATAAGAAAAGTGGTGGGATTTATTTATTCCTAAAATGAAAATTGCAGCGCTGTCTTATCGTTCGTCCGACTAGAATCGAATGAACGGCGATTTAGTCGCGTCGAACATATCTGCGTTTGATGAATTCTACTACATTTGTATATATACTACTTGGTTATTACATTAGCATCCACTACCGGGACTAGAGGCGTTTCTTGAGTGAAAAAAGGTGTGGTTGTGGAGATTTGAACCAAGACCCTTCAGTTCAGCTCTTACATGCGTTACCAACTCACCTCCCACCACACATCTAACACTTTCCTTTTAAATTCACTCTTGAGGTATCTTTAGTCCGGGTTTGAGACACAAACCGAAACTAAAGGTACCTTTAGTCTAGGTTCATGTCTCAAACCGGGATTAAAAGTCGTGTCTCAAACTAGGACTAAAGCTTCTCCCACTGACACGCCTCGGTAACCGTTAAAACCGGGGCTAAAGGGTGGAATTAGTCCCTATTCTTATTATAAACCGAGGCTAAAGATCTGGTCCTCCCTTTAATCACGTTGTAATTTTAAAATCGTGACTAAATACTTTTTGGCCATGGATGAAAGGTTGTTTTTCTACTCGTGATCGCTGTACTCAAATTTTTAGGCAAAGTTATTAGACCATATTGCTATCCTAAAATCCTGGCTGCGTACGCTACGCTTATAATAATTAGCGAATAATACACACCTCCGAAGAATGGTAAAGCATGGGGATGTTAGCATGCAGTCCACAATTAAGGCATCGTCGTAATGATTCGGTTTAGATATTCATGCGTTAGGTTAATCAAGAGCGTAACCAAACGTTCACGTGCGCCGATGATGATTCCCACGTTTTTTCCTTGTATGTATGTAAACCTGGGTGCTCACTGCTCACAAATTATATCGAAGGACGACGACGTACTGGTCATGACCCGTCGGCAGGTCGACGTCGAGGCACAGCTAGCGCGAGTGCGACTGTGCGAGTGCACCAAAAACAGGTAGCTCGCCTCGCCTGGTCACTGCACACGGGCTGTCCGGGGTCCCGTCCGCTCGTTCAGGAGACGACACAGAATAAGAGTGAAGACGACACAGAATAAGACACATGTAACACATGAACGATATTCCGACGCTGGATCTCGACCTCAACCATCCAACGATATATTGTGTGTGTGCCTCTGCTGCGGTGGCCGGTGGTGGTGGTGGTGCCCGGTCGGCCTCCCGGCCACCAGTACATACGGTGTCGTCCGGCCGAGGTTGACGGCTTGACGGTCGCGCCGCACGACGAGTGCATCGCGCTGCTCGCCGGGTCACTTCACGGGGCCGTGCCGGGCCGGCCGGGGATTGCCGGATTGCGTCGCCGCCGCGTAATTGAGCACGGAACGAATGAAGGATAACGCGTGATTGAGAGGGCTGTAGCTAGGGCACCCACCCACCAGCCACGCACTACAAATAAGGCCGCGAGGACGACACGGCAACACCACCACACCTGCAGAGCAGCAAGAGAGACTTGCAAATAACTGCGGCTACCGGCGGCCTAGCTACCGCCGCGATCCACCACAGGGCCACCACGTGAAATCTTCGATCGCTCGCCAAGTTTCCTGCGGCAGGCTCTCGTAGCTGAGTGACTGGCTATAGCTAGTAGAGCAAGTACGACATAGCAGCTCGCCCGGCCGGCGGTGCTCGACGACATTGGCGACGCACATACCAGGCCAGCAGCTGGGGTTGATAGCTATATACTAGATGGACAAGCCCGTGAAGCAGCTGACTGCTGCCTCCCTCTCGCTGAAGGCCATCAGCTGCCGCCTCGGCTCGGGCGGGCATGTGCAGCGCGTCGGCTCGTTACTACCCTGCGGGAGGATGACGCCGACACAACCGAGCATGTCGTCGTCTACGCGCCCTGCGCCTGCGGTGAACAGAGGTACACGTTCCCCCAGCCGTTTTGTGGTTCGATCTGTTTGACTGTGCAGTGGTGCATGTGCATGCACTGCTGAAGGAACATATAGTTTACAACCTCAGAACTCTCGCCAATGTCCGGATTTCAAATTGTTTGCTCGCGTGACGAGACTCAAATTTCAAAAAATAGAAAACCCTTCAATACGATATCGGATGAAGATAATTTTTATATGTAAATTGTAGACCTTCGATGAGATCTACAACTTTATATTTTTAATTTTTTTTTCATTTGAGGACAGTAAGATGCTCGAAAAAATAATATAAAATTTTAGCACCATAATAATCGCCTACTAGCGCTTGCCGCATTAGAGCACTAATATATTATTTGTATGGAGTTAAATAAAAATACTTTTTATACCAAAGTTGTAGCTCTCAATGAGATCTACAACTTTACGATGCTTATACCAAAGTTGTAGTTTTGAGTTTTTTCATTTGAGGACGTTACGATGCTCAAAAAATAATATAAAATTTTAGCGCTTCCCGAGAATATCAAAAGTACTGTTCATACACCAAAACCGCCCAGAAACCAACCCAGGGTTGAAAGTTGAACGGTTTCAAGAGTTTGAGGGCCAAAGTTATCCGGTTTTGGAGTTTGAGGTTGAAATCCGGACTTTGGCGAGAGTTCAAGGTTGTAAATTTGACTTTACCCTATATAATAATAATGGCAAACTCTATCGCTCGTTCGGTCACGCTCCGGGCAGAGCAAGCGACCCGGGTCCACGCGCCCGCAGCTAGGGTTCCGGCGAGGACCTCACCGGCGCTAGAGGACGAAGTTAGGGTTTCAAGGTAAGTTCATCTCTCACCGGCGGGCTTAGAAGGAGGCTTCGGGGGAGGTAGGCCGTCCAGATGGTGGGGACGACAGGAGGACGGCGGTTAGGGTTCTGAGGGCATAGGAGGCGGTTGGGCCAGGTCGAGACGGGGGCGCCCATGGCCATGGCGGTGGCCGGTGTGGCGGAGAGAGGAGGGAAGAAAGAGGCTGCCACGGGGGCGGTAGGGTCTCGCAGGAGCTCCGCGGCGAGACTCTACCGCGCCGCGGCGGGGCGGTGGACAGCGACGGCGATAGGGTCGCGTGCTCGCCCGATAGCGCGACGGGCGCGTTAACTTCCCCCGTAATAATCCGTAGCAATACATACATTCGGTGAATTGATATGAGGCTAGGTACGTAGTAGCAAAGTTTTTTTCCTTACCCTGGGCTAGCTCAACGCAGCGTCGCCTGTGCATGTACGTGTCCACTCCAACAGCATGTGCATTGGCTCAATGGCTCTCCACCAGTTATTTTACATAGTACAATTTTCTTGGATTTTTTTGTTCGCCACGTGGCGCCGATGTGTGTTACTGACATGACACCCACCCGGGCTTCTTTTCTTCAAGTGGTACACGTTGAGACGAAGCCATTGGAAGTAGCACAAGAACGCGCAGACAACAAGCAGCATGCAAAAACCTGTAAGAATTCATTCAAGCTCGTGTGTGTGTGTATAGAAAGACTACAATTCATCATATATGTAACGGTTTCTTGCTTCAGTTAGCCCTGGCAGAAGCAAGCAACACGATAAGGGAGCATCGGAGACTACGATAAGGCAGCAGCTCCAGCAAGTCGATGTGCTTGAGAACATGGGGATTTCTCGGCATTTTGCTGTTGAAATCAAGCGTGTCCTTGACAGGACATACAGGTACCAATGTAACACTATACTGAAAACCAGAATATCCTGTGGGGAGCAATTTTTCTGTTAGTTTTTGGCGGGAACAACTTGAAATTTAGCGATTAATTAATACTATTGGCACTGTTTAAACCGACAGGAAAATTCGAAGATCCACAGGAAATAATTTTTTTCTAACGCTGAACTAACAAACAAGTTAGCTTTGTCTGTTCACCGTCAGGAAAATTTTGTTTAGTCCTTTCAGTTATTTTAAAATTTGTTCTATAGGTCTTTTGCATTCTCCTGTTTTTTTTTTTTTTTGCACCATCAAGGAAATTTCGGTTTCTATTATTGAACTTTGAATACATCTTACTCATTCCTTACCCTCATATATTAGAAACTCATGTACTTACAACCAGACATTTTACAGATGTTGGTTACAGCGGGATGAGGAAATTATGCTGGACACAGCGACATGTGCAATGGCATTTCGTATTCTAAGGATGAACGGATACGATGTCTCTTCTGGTGTTTTTCTAGACCTAGAAAATTTTGACACTTTTAAGTTTTAATAACAGATGGATTTTTACTTTTGGCCCTTTCTCAACACACTTATCCGCATGAAAACATGGTGCAGATGAGCTGTATCATGTTGCTGAAGCATCCGTGTTCCAAAATTCACTTGGAGGATATTTGAATGATACAAGAACCTTGTTAGAATTACACAAGGCTTCTACAGTTGGTATCTCACAAGATGAATCTATCCTGGACACCATAGGCTCATGGTCAGGTACCTTACTGAGGGAACAGCTGGGGTCTGGTGGTGCACTAAGGAGAACTCCACTCATTAGAGAGGTATGCTTCAGTGATTTATTGTTCTTGTCACGTTTAGAATTTGGAAAGATTAGCTAACATGTTTAACGCTATTTTTTGTTTGTTTCTTTTCAGGTGGAACATGCTCTAGACTGTCCCTTCTACACCACACTGGACCGTCTAGACCACAGGTGGACCATCGAAAATTTCAATGTTACAGGCCACCACATGCTAGAGACACCATACTTGTAAGTTCCCAATCCACAAAGTAAGGTTTCACTAAACCATTGTAATACAAATACTTGCATTGATGATACTAAATATTAATGTTGAAACAGGTCCAGTCGATATACTAGCAGAGAGATTCTAGCGTTGGGTATCAGAGACTTCAGTTCCTCTCAGTTTACTTACCAGCAAGAACTTCAGCAACTTGAAAGGTAAATAAGATTGTTACGCACTCCTGTCCTATGTCAAACCTACAACCATCAACAGTTTAGCTTATTTGTGGGTTGCAAATATGTTGCTGCAGCTGGGTGAAAGAGTGCAGGCTGGACCAGCTACCATTTGCACGGCAGAAATTGGCATACTTCTACTTGTCTGCTGCTGGAACCATGTTCCCTCCTGAACTGTCTGATGCTCGCATTTTGTGGGCCAAAAATGGTGTGCTCACAACCGTTGTCGATGACTTCTTTGATGTTGGAGGATCAAAAGAAGAACTTGAAAACCTTGTCACGTTGGTTGAGATGTATGGTCCTCGTCCTTTTACCACGATATCTTGTGCATCAGTGCATCATCATCCTTATTAAGAAATAGTGATGGTTTCTTATTATAATTTAACTTTCTATTTTCAATGGTTTTTATAGGTGGGACGAACATCACAAAATTGAGTTCTACTCGGAACAAGTAGAGATTGTATTTTCTTCAATTTACAACTCAGTTAACCAGCTTGGAGCAAAGGCTTCTTTGCTACAAGACCGCAATGTTACCAAACACCTAATACAAATAGTAAGTTCCAGTTTTTTTTTAACTTTTTACTTTTCAGCTGAGTACTGACTAGTTTTGAATGGCTTGTGCAGTGGTTGGGTTTGCTAAAGTCTATGATGACAGAGGTAGAGTGGCGGATGAGAAAATATGTTCCAACAGAGGAGGAATACATGAAAAATGCATCTTTGACATTCGCATTAGGCCCCATTGTACTGCCAGCATTGTATTTTGTTGGACCAAAGATCCCGGAGTCTGTCGTTAAAGATCCAGAATACAACGAGTTGTTCAGGCTAATGAGCACATGTGGCCGGCTCCTGAATGATGTTCAGACATTCGAGGTACATTACTGAGTTTCAACTCTCTTAAGCCTTCATGACAAACCTGTTGCACTCATGAAAGTAATAGTGCGATTCATTAGCATAGAAAATAATGGGTACTTGAGTTAGTTTTCATTCTCCAAGTGTTTCCTTATTTAATAGGTATATGAGCATGGTATACTAAATACTACTGTACCAATTAGTCTTGACTGGCACACAGGAAGCCTTTTTATTGTAATCGAGAAAAAGGGAAGTCTTGTATATTGAAAATATGACACCAGCTGACACATAGTGATCAACTGATGTACTGTTGCAGAGGGAGTACGGCGAGGGCAAGCTGAACAGTGTTTCTCTCCTCGTTCTTCATGGTGGCTGCACATCCATATCAGAGGCTAGAAGGGAGTTACAGAAGCCCATAGACACATGCAGGAGAGACCTCCTAAGAGTAGTTCTTCGTGAAGAAGGTGCTGTTCCTAGGCCCTGCAAGGAGTTGTTCTGGAAAATGTGCAAGGTGTGCTACTTCTTCTACTCAGGAACTGATGGGTTTAGCTCACCAGTGGAGAAGGCTAGGGAAGTGGATGCAGTGATCAATGAGCCACTAAAGCTCCAAGGAATCCATGCATCGCTGCCTGTTGTGTGAGAGGAACCGAGCCTCGATGATGTTGTTCATTTGATTCAGTAGGTGTGTTTTCACTGTAAGATAGTTCGGTGGGTGACTGGATCAGGTGGTGTAAGTGTAACCGCTTGCGTTGATGTTAGCAAGGTTTTCAATTTCAGTTTTACAAATATTTCGGCCACCACCGAAATTACCGAATTTTGAGAATTTTGGCCGAAATTTTTTCAGAGACTTAGACTTTAGGTATATTTTTTTCTAAAAATTTTAGATCTAAACAAAATATTAGCAAGATTTATGACTATACATGTATTAAGCAGAAGAATATGCAACATAGACAATAGAAAATATAAGTTTATACTTTATAGTTGTATAGCACATGTTTTAGTGTAATACGAAATTTAGGTTTCTTCTTTCGGCTGTCACCGAAATTTTGAACCCTGGATGTTAGTAGCATAAATACAGGAATGTTGAGCGAAGAACCCAAGGTATTCACGGAGTATTGTGCTGTTGGATTGAATTATACTGATATTTTGTAAGCTCGATGTTGGTGGTGTAGTTATTTTAGTTGCCGGTAACTAATTAAATCACTTGGCATATTGTTTAAGAGTAGCCATAGGTCAGAAGTATGATTTTTTTAGGCCTAAGAGGCCCTGTTCGCTTATTTTATAATCCGTCTTTTTCAGCTTTTTTTTTTCAGCCGGAATAGTATTTTTGTCTCACAACAAATCAGCCGGAACAATGTTTCGGCTTTTTTTTCAGCAAAGCGAACGGGGTCAGAGTCCATATGTTTTCCAACAAATATATATGTATATACTTGAAGAGAGTACATGTATATTCCAAATATGGACGCGCGGCACGGCCTATACACGCGTTACTATACTTTGTACAGTAGAGCAAGAAATGAGATCACGTTGGCCACTTATTTTCTTGCCATAGCGGATCAGTCTCCCTTTTGTGGTGCATGTACAAAGGCCATTAAATTCTTTTTTTATAAAAACTACTATGGAGGTAAACATTTTTGTGATAGCTAGCGGCAATTTAATATATGCGAATGCATCTATATGGATTTATGGTCGCTTAGTGTGGGGGTTTAAGAATAGAAAACGCCTACGGAATAGACTAAGGGCAGGATGGTCATTTTACCATACCCTCCCTCCCCTCCTAGGCTGGATAAGCCTTTTTTATTGTTAGCAGTGTGTGCTAAACAAAACCAGAATTTTACGGTGTCCACTGGACTAAATCAATGAGTGTAGTGTGCGACAAATAAAATCACCGTTTTGGAGTGTCACAGACAAATGGTCTATTTTATACAAATTTTAGGTATGGCAGCTGCCAAAGCTTGCCAAATATGTGCCTCCGCCCCTAAATAGACACATGTGTCCGAACCTGTCTTGTCAGCAGCTCCTACGCATGCCCATGTATGTGATCCGTGGCTGGTGGGGAAGATGGATCTAAACATTCGACGACGGCTCCGTCTGGAGATCCTTCACGGCTGCTGCTTGTCCTTATTTAGACAGACCACAGTGGGCATGCTACCTAGGCATGCTGGCAATGTTATAATATACTACTCTTTCTGTTCCTAAATATCTATCATTTTCGCTTTTAAAAAATAAATTTAACTAAATATATATTAAAAATATTAATATTTATGGTACATAATTAGTATCATTGAAAATGTATTTGAATCTAGTTTTTTAATAAATTTATTTAAAGATACAAATGTTTATAAATCGAGTCAAACATGCGGCACGCACACTAACGACGACAGTTATTTAGGGACGAAGTGAGTACCTATGTCTACAAAAGAATGCAATTGTGGAAACCGTGCCAGTCAAGTTAGCTCACGTTTGAACAATTTTATAGCAATAGTAGTATCATTTATGTCTTTAAATAATTTTATTATAAAAATATATTTTATAACTAATCTAATAATACTTATTTTATATCACGAATGTTAGTAATTTTTTATATAAATTTAGTCAAAATTCGAAGTATCGACTCCTCGGAACAAACCACACACATCCTCGGTCCTCGCCTACTACCATCGTGAATTCGTGATCGCGCCATAAAATTAATGCTTCCGCGCGCGTACCCTCGGCTCAGGCCTCAGCTACCGACCACAAGGACGCCTACGTAGTACGTACTCTAGCTGCTGATGAAACTGCAGTATGAATAATTCCCCTGCTGCTGAAACAAATAAACAAAAGCAAGGATCAGACCAGTTGATGCCACCCCCTGCTGGCACGATCATGCACGTTCCCCAGTTGATGCCACCGACCACAAGGACAACCTATTTTATTGGGGCTGGTGTGTTAGGGTCAAAGCCACCTATCTCACAGTGTCCTCATGGCTAAATGAATGAATGGACTGTGCTGCATACAAAACTATCCTTCCGTGATGTTCCAGAGACAAAATTCCCGTACAAAATACCTAATACATATATTATATACTAGTAAATATACATGAAATACATATGTCAATACGTTATACAAGCCAATATGTTGGTTCTTATATAAACTCCATCACACCTAAAATTTTTTCTTGCCTCCGCCACTGTATTCTATTAGCAAACAGTTTTGTATGTTGCACCAAACCATCATCGCATCATATCTATATCTATCTATTTACATCTACTGCACCTAAAAAGACTCTAACATTATCATCTACCACCGGTGATACCAAATCTCGATCTCTACTCGATCACGCGTCCGCGTCCGATATGAATCGTCCTCCACTCGGAGTTCACGCGTCCGCATCCTACCCGATTTCAATACGAAGACCAGATCCACGTGTCCACGTTTGATACGAAGTCCTCGGAGCTCACGCGTCCACTTTCGATTACTGAGATTCAGTTCAAAAAAATTATGACCCCGGTTCAACACACGGGCATATATTTAGTATGTATACAAATAAAACTCTATATCATCGCTAGACGCGAGTTGGTACATGAATACAGATCACATACAAGATAAAAAGTATGTGACCCAATATATCATGGAATCAGGCTCGTTATCGATCATGGGCTACACACGAAATACGGAGGACGCGAGTGTAATTTGGATTTTTTTTAAAAAAAATTCTTGTTCCTCCAGCCACCTTCCTCCAACAATATCTTTAATTCGGACACTTTGGAACACAGAAAATTCACAAGGATCATATAAAAATTCCACACGAATCATTTTAAGCACATAAAAAATATAAATAGAAAAAATTCTTACATTTGGTAATGGCCTTGTTCCTCCCGCAATAGTCATGATGCTCTCTCCCGCAATAGCCATGATGCTCTTGGACTTCTCTTGTTCATGGTAGCTCCATAGCTGAATCCATCACATCGCCAATCATCCTCCACCATCTCTATTTGTCTGTCTATCTTGCTTGTCGCCTCGTCTAGCATAGCAACCATTTCTCTATCATTGGCCAACCTAAATTCCTCCCCTAGCCATCTCTCTATCTCTAAATTAAAGATCTAAATCTCCAATCCAAATCCTCAAAGCCCCGTACCCTAACTCTCATCCCGTCGGAGATGAAAGGGAGAGAAAAATCGGCTGAAGTTGGAGAGAGGATGAAGGTTATAGACTTATTATAGTGAACAAAAAGATTAGATATTGATATGGGTGGTTCAATCAAATACCCAAATACATATCATTTAGCAAATCCATTTGTGGATACTTGTATAGGAACTTTCGGTCGCTCGTGCTGGTACTCTCATTGTGACTTTATTTTCCATGCCTCGCAAGAAAGAAGCTTTTATAGGAACTTTAGCATGACGTTCCACGTCTCACAAGACGTGATTGTTCTGGATACTTGCGTAACATTTTTGTCCTGTTTAACACAGCTCTGGTTTCTTGGAAGAGCCGGAGTCAGAGCCGGTAGAACTAAAAATAATGGCTTTACTAGCTCTTAGTTCATTTTGGGAAGAGAGATTAAAATAACGTTATGCTATAGTGCACGGAGGAGCAGGAGCCGTTGACTAGAGACCTTTTGCGCAACAAGCATGAGTTCTTCTAATGAATTCAAAGGGCTAGATAATGTGTAATATCTTATCTTACTATTATTAATTAGTGGCCTCAATATAGACTTTACATTAATTCTCACATGAAGTTCTAAAAAAAAGCATAAATCTTAGAATTCTCACAGTAACCAGAAACATTTAGCCTTTAATTTTGTAGACTCTAATCATCATCACCAATAATAATTATTGGATCTATTATGTTTTATACAAGACTTACCCACCTCTACCATTATAAAAAAAACACATAAAGTAACCCTTATTTTTTATTAAAATTATTCACTTTTGTCATTATATAATATAATTCAAAACAACATCCTAAATTTGTTTATAAATTAAGCACATATGCCATTTGGAAGATATTTAAAATAACACCCAATTTTTTTAATATAAAATTACATGTTGGCATTATAAAAGATAATGCAATAATTCCTAAGTTTGCATCCAAATTACCCATATATGTCATTATAAAAGATAATACAAAGTAACACTTATAGTCTGTATCTAAATTATCCATCTCCACAGTAATAAAGATAAAAAAATGTCTCCTAAATATATGTAAAAACATTAACACAATCTGTTAAAAAAATATATGTGACTTGCAACGTACACATGATCGTGACTCGGCTTTTTTTAATTCTGTAAAAATTATCTTATTATGTTTGTCTTTGTTAATCCATTTACCGACCACCTCCAAAAATATCCTATAATAAAAACCATTTAACAGAATTGATGGTCTTGCTCGTCTCTAATCTAAGAACAAAAACGGCTAGCTCTGAAAATGCTTTCTGTACTAATATCATCGTGTGGTTCCATACTTAACAGACCCAGCCGCAGCGCTAGCCCATCGTACACCATAACCAGAGGAGTAGCTAGCCACTGCTAGCTATATATATATATATATATATATATATATATATATATATCAATCACGTCGCGCGTAGGAGCAGCGGTCTACCAAAACGCCAGCGCTGGCCGGCCGGGCGACCACACCACCAGAGCTTGCAACTGGTCT